CGTTGCGCAGGTATATTTGTTATATTTTTTTTTTTTACATTATTATTGGTTTTTTTGTGTTTTATACATATTTTTTCTATATTGAAGTTCATTTTATATTGAATTGATAATTAAAAAATCAATAAATAAAATATCCACAAACTGAACTCAAAGTTTATATCATCATGGTTCTTCTCAAATATGTTACCACTTGACATTTACTACACAAGTTTAAAACTTTGTCAAGAAAAGCAAAAAAATTTGTAGGATAACCCACTGGGTATTATTGATAAGTCTATAAATTAATCAAAGAAAGAGAAACCTTGTTGAAAAATGGAAACTTTTAAACAAGAGACTTACAGAGCCAAAGGAAAAAATTGATTTTGATTGTTGAGAAGAGAAAATGAATTATTTTTATTATTATAATTTTAGAAATAAAAAAAAATTAAGAATGTTGAGAAGGCAACTTAATTGAAGCATTGAAGAAACCTTGAACATAAAGGTTTTGTGACACAAATCCATTTGCTGCAATTAGAATTAACCACCACCTATAGTAAAAAAAGCATTTGATGATAGCATCCTAAAGAAAGTTGATAATTGTAAAACCCACAAAACCCACAAATCAAACAACAAAATCAATCCAAAATTGAATTTGTTTTATGTATGTGATGATAAAATGAATGGTTCAGAAGCAGGTCTATAATTCACCATATAATATATCAAATTAAAGCCCTATCTTTCTAGTTTCCAAAGATTCAAACCGCTCATCACTTGGATTTTTATTGAGCAAGTTATGGCTAATTTACTACTAACTGTTCAGTGAAAATCGAGAAACAGGGGAAACTAAAATGTGCGTAATGATAAAAGGAATGGTTCTACAGTGGGGCTACAGTTATCCAAATTAAGCGTATAATATATCAAATTAAATCTCTATCTGTCTAGTTTCTAAAGGTTCAAACCTCTCATAAATTAGATTTTTATTGAGCAAATTATGACCAATTTACTATTAACTGTTCAGTGGAAACCGAAATGTGTGTGATGATAAAAAAAATGTTTTGACAGTGGGGCTAAATTTATCCAAATTAAGGGTATAATAAATCAAATTAAAGCCCTATTTATCTAGTTTCTAAATATTCAAACCTCTCATCAATTGGATTTTTATTGAGAAAGTTATAGTTAATTTACTACTGACTATTAAGTGGAAACCAAAATGTGTGTGATGATAAAAGGAATTGTATGATAGTTGGGCTATATTTATCCAAATTAAGCGTATAATATATCGAATTAAAGCCTTGTCTGTCTAGTTTTTAAAGATTCAAACCTCTCATCAATTGAAGTTTTATTGAGTAAGTTACGGTCAATTTACTACTAATTGTTTAGTGGAAACCTAAATATATATGATGATAAAATGAATGATTTACTAAAGCTATATGGTTTAGCATCAAACATCAGTTGATATTTATTAACTTAATGAAATTAGTTATATTTAGCAACAAACTCTTTTCATGATATATGTATGCAACATAAAAGATATCATCAAAAAGAGATATACTAATTACAATTAAAACTACATATCAATATTTGTTTTCCTTTAAGGATAATAATAATGGTTTGTCATATTATAAATGGTTTACTAAAGCTACATGGTTCGGCAACAAACATCAGATGATATTTGTGATACAAATAAAATTTGTTATATTCAGCAACAACCTGTTTTCGATATATGTATGTAACATAAAAAAATATCAACAATAAGAGATGGAACAAATACAACTAAAACTACATATCAATATTTGTTTTCCTTTGTCATCACTAAAATTCAATTGGTTTTATGAGTGTGATGATAAAATGAATGGTTCGGTCGTAGGTCTATAGTTAACCAAATTAATTACATAATATATCAAATTGAAGCTCTATCTTTCTAGTTTTCAAAGATTTAAACCACTCATCAATTGGATTTTTATTGAATAAGTTATGACTAATTAACTACTGATTGTTCAGTGGAAATTGAGAAACAGGGGAAACTGAAATGTACGTGATAATAAAAGGAATAGTACGGAAGTGGGGCTACATTTATCCAAATTAATCGTGTAATATACTGAATTAAATCCCTATATATCTAGTTTCTAAATATTCAAACCTCTCATTAATTAGAGTTTTATTGAGCAAGTTATGGTCAACTTACTACTGACTGTTCAGTGGAAACCAAAATGTGTGATGATAAAAAGAATGGTTCGGCAGTGGGGCTACAGTTATCCAAATTAAGCGTGTAATATACAAAATTAAATCCCTATATGTCTGGTTTCTAAATATTCAAACCTCTCATTAATTGGAGTTTTATTGAGCAAGTTATGGTCATTTTACTACTGACTGTTTAGTGGAAACTGAAATGTATGTGATGATAAAAGAAATAGTTCAGAAGTAGGGCTACAGTTATCTAAATTAAGTATATAATATATCAAATTAAATCCCTATTTGTCTAGTTTTCAAAGCTTTAAACCGCTAATCAATTAGATTTTTATTGAGCAAGTTATGGCTAATTTACTACTGATTGTTCAGTGGAAATTGAGAAACAGGAGAAATCGAAATGTGTGTGATGATAAAAGAATGATTCGCCAATGGGGCTACAGTTATCCAAATTAAGCATATAATATATCAAATTAAGGCCTTGTTTATCTAGTTTCTAAAGATTCAAACCTCTCATTAATTGGATTTTCATTGCGCAAGTTATGGTCAATTTACTATTGATTGTTCAGTGGAAGCCGAAATGTGTGTGATGATGAAAGGAATGGTTCAGAATCAAATTAAAGCCCTTTCTGTCTAGTTTCTAAAGATTCAATCCTCTCATCAATTGCATTTTGATTGAGCAAGTTATGATCAATTTACTATTAATTATTCAGTGGAAACCGAATGCGTGTGACGATAAAATAAATTGTTTGCTTAACCCAAATTTAAGAGATTATCATATTAGGACTGATAAGAAATATTTCAAATAACACCTATTAATTGGAAAACGGAATTAGCCAAAATTAATACATTTAACATATATACTCGCACATCAACAGGACATAAACAATAAATCATTCATATAACAAATTAAAATATACGAATGTTTTTACAGAAAACATATTCAATACAATTGAATTGTTTATACTAATATAGATATGAAACATACTCACAGTTCAGTTGACAATATGATCATCCTCGATTTGATCTTAGTAAAGTACATGAACATTTCCTTGAAAACAAACATAACAAAATTTAATCGATCTTCATGTTAAGATTTGTTAAGGAACAATTATTCATTCGTATAACAATTGTTACCTGAAAACGAAATCAACAAAAGTTAATTAATCTTCATTTTAAAATTGTTAAGGAATACACTTACCGTTCAGCAAGACTAACACAATTAATCATTCAAATAGATTGATCGAAAACAATCATTCAATCAAATAATAACCGTTAAAATAGTTAGGAGATATACTTACAATTTCGTATTAAAAATAGTTAGAAGATATGCTTGCAGTTCAAAAGAATGAATCAAAATAACAACTCATTTGACAATGTCGATCGGACATCCTACCTTTATTCCATGCCAATTCATGAATCTTTGACTTGTAAACAACAACAAAAACATAAATAAATAAAAAATCACCGATTAATAAAATCATGAAAAACACACGTATTATTGACATAAACAAACATGACCTATAAACAATTAACAGAAGACCAGACGTATTGTTGACACCAACTAACGTATTGTTGACACCAACTAACGTATTGCAATAATACACAACTGAACATACGCCCTTTTATAACCCCTTATTTAGACATTTCGAATGTCAACACAATTAAATACGAAGAAAGATTTGCAATTTTAATACAATGCACCTATATAATTATTGATAAACATGTATGTTTTCACTACCAATGCAATGCACCTATGTAATCCAATCTTTATGTCTATTTATTTAGACTTTGGAATACTAATACAACAATTGATATTGTTACATCATCACCAATAAAATTCAACCACATGGCAATCACAAATGCAAAGTGTCCTTATGGTTAGACCTTTAGAATGCCAATGCAATGCACTTATATAATTAATATTATTATTAATTATTAATACAACAATGCGATGCACTTATGTAATCTAATCTTTATATCTATTTATTTAGACTTTGGAATACCAATACATCAATTAATATTATCTACATTGTCACCAATAAAATTCAACCATATGACAATTATAAATATAATGTGTTATTATGATTAGACCTTTAGAATGTCAATGCAATGCATTTATATAATTAGAATTGTTCCAATTTTTTTAATTAATTAATAATTATAGATGGAGCAATAAATACTAATCCAACATGTCAAGATAAAGTAATTTGACTGGCTTGTCAATCTAATGTGTCAAAATGAAGCAATTCTAGAGCTTTTAAAATGTGCCATATGACGAACACCGGGCATGAGTATTCAACTTTATATTGATATATTGATGCCCCGTAACTTTTTTATAAAAAAGTTTAAAATTGTACATTCTACAAAATTAACGAAGTTCGAAGGACGGAGTAGGACTAAAATCTCATTTCCTAAACTAGTTGGTGTTTATAAGAAATTGTGAAACATGTGGGGCTTTTTAAATTATCTATTGAAATTAGAGCAATATTATGTTTATACGTGACTTATATAACAACTGAGTCATATAAACAGAACAAATTTTTTTTTTAAAAAAAGGGATAAAATAGTTATTTTATGTAAATTTTGTATAATTTTTAGTCATATAAAAAGAAAATAATAAATAAAGAATAAAATAATTATTTTAGGTAAATTTCGTATAAATTTTATGTGTTTATACGATCCAATTGTGTTATAAGCGAAACGTTATTATTGAAATTACTAAAACGAGCGTATTTACTATTTAGTAAAGTGTATTCTTTCCTAAGCCCTCACCCTCCCGATCCAATCGCCCTTCGCCGCCAGGTACAAGGTACACGCCTAACCCTTATTCGTTTACTTTATTTCGCAAAATTGTAGAGCTAGGGTTTAACACTACTGCCCTAATTTCAAATTGGTTCAATCTCAATTGTATCGATTTTGTGGTTCAATTAGGTTTTGCCTCTCTAATTGAATGGGGGATCGGAACACCGCTGCTCCCAAAGCAATATGGCTGAAGCAAGCCGAAGAAGCCAAACTCAAGAGCGAGGCCGAGAAGGCCGCGGCTGCAAAAGCCGCATTCGAAGCCACATTCAAAGACGTTGCGAATAAAGCTCGCGAGAAGCAACCGGGTTCTGGTTCTGATAGTGATTCTGAAGACGATTGGGAGGAGGATTTGAGCAACAAGCCCATCGGGCCAGTGGACCCCGCCAAATGCACGGCTGCTGGTGCGGGTATTGCTGGTGGCACGGCGGGTGCTGCGTCTTCGTTTATGGTTGTGACCAAGGACTCGGATGGGAGGAAGGTGGCTAATGGAGGTGCTCAAATAAGTGTGAAGGTTGCACCGGGTGTAGGAGTGGGCGGTTCGGAGCAGGAGGGGATTGTTAAGGACATGAATGATGGTACTTATACTGTCACTTATGTGGTTCCTAAGAGGGGTAATTATATGTTGAGCATTGAGTGCAATGGTAAACCCATTATGGGTAGTCCCTTCCCGGTTTTCTTCAGTGCAGGTACATAATTCGTGACTTCTTCTCTTTTTATTTTAACTGGACTTAAGATTTTCTCTTTTAGCTAGGAATTTAGGTTCAAATTTTGAAAATTGATTGATTTTCTTTTTCATAGAGTGAATGTTGGTGAGCCTTTTGATTTGAATATTTGAACTATATTTAGCAGGTACTTCAACTGGAGGACTGTTGGGTATGGCTCCTGCCTCCAATTTTCCTAATTTAGTCAACCAAACTATGCCCAACATGCCAAACTATTCTGGGTCAGTTTCAGGGGCATTTCCTGGATTACTTGGAATGATTCCAGGTGTTGTTTCTGGAGCTTCTGGTGGTGCTATTTTGCCTGGAATGGGAGCATCACTTGGGGAGGTTTGTCGAGACTATCTTAATGGTCGTTGCCCGAAAACTGATTGCAAATTGAACCACCCGCCTCACAATTTGCTAATGACTGCATTAGCTGCAACAACCAGCATGGGGACTCTCAGTCAGGTGCCTATGGCGCCTTCTGCAGCCGCAATGGCTGCTGCTCAGGCTATTGTTGCTGCCCAGGCTCTTCAAGCTCATGCTGCTCAGGTTCAAGCACAACAGTCAACCAAAGAATCGTCTGGTAATTTTATCCCTGCTTTCTTTATATAATTATTATACCTATTTGTTTTATTTTTGCTCTACTTCCTAAAATTGGTGTTATCCTTCTTATCAGATGACAAAGCAGGGAAGGCTGATGCTTTGAAAAGAACTCTACAAGTTAGCAATCTTAGCCCACTTCTTACTGTGGAACAGCTGAAGCAACTTTTTAGCTTTTGTGGCACAGTTCTTGAATGTACCATAACTGATTCAAAACATTTTGCCTACATAGAATATTCAAAACCTGAAGAAGCAACTGCCGCTTTGGCATTAAACAATATGGATGTTGGAGGTCGGCCATTGAATGTTGAGATGGCTAAAGCACTTCCACCAAAAACTCTTGTGAATTCATCACTTGCTTCTTCTTCTCTGCCAATGATGATGCAGCAAGCTGTTGCCATGCAACAGATGCAATTCCAGCAGGCTTTGCTGATGCAACAAACTCTGACTGCGCAGCAGGCAGCTAACAGAGCTGCATCTATGAAGACTGCTACAGAGTTGGCTGCTGCTAGAGCTGCAGAGATAAGTAAGAAGTTAAAAGCAGATGGACTTGGGGATGATGAAAAGGAAACAAAAGAAAAATCCAGGTAATATGGATTCTTTAACAGAAACTTACCTTTTTTTTTTCCCCTTTGTCTAACCCTAAATCTAGGGAACATTTAGTTAGTTTGGCAAGTACTTCATATTAGCATCATGAGCATGAGTCCTGATTCGTTTCACTTTTGTGGGGTTGTGAATTCACTAACTTGGAAATAAATATATCTGATGATCAAGTTACTCTGACATGATCCTTAATTTTGTACTTCATTTATTTACTTTTTGTTAACTTTAGTTTATTGCATCACTTTAAAGTGTTAATCATCCAAGTCAGTGTAGCATTGAAAAGTTGCTTGTGTTTATTTTAGTTGAATTTCAATGTCACATATGTAGTAGTGCCAGATAGGTATTAACCATCCTTATCCTGAAAAATTGGATCTCTCTCAAGATTCATAATTAGTTAACTAAGTGGGTTAGGGATCTCCAACCTCCTCCCTGTAATGTTGTTGCATTCCCATGCTTGCCAATTTCTTGCTTGATATGGAGCAGATTGTGGTTGGGGATCCTCCTTTAGGAGATTGAGTTAAATGAGGAATCTTATTCTCATATAGGTCAACTATGATTCTTATTTATTTATGTTTTTTTTTTTATTGATATTGATAGATTTTTATTATTTGGAACCATTAACTCATCAAATCTTTTCGATATCTTAGCATATGACAACAATGAAGTACATAGGAAGAATAAAGGTATTGTTTGAAAAATATCCAAATAGATACAGTTAAATAATGATGATGCAAGCATTAAAAGTAAACTAAAATCAAAATATGTATGACCTTTCATACATATAGAATACATCATTTGCAACAACCAATAATCACAACAATTTTAAAGAAAACCCTTTCTTTTTATAGGGAACAAACTATATTAATAAAAGAAAATAAATTAGTACATGTGAAAAAAGTCTATGATTCCACCAGAAAAATGAAAAAAAATTATAAAAAAAAAATTAGGTAAATAAAACTTCAAAATTACTGCCCACCCATCACTTTGAATGAAGAAGGAATATATTCACTAGAATTAGTTAGCATGTGAAACCTTGATTGATTTCATCGCACAAACTCTCTCCCAAAGCAATTCAACAGCCTTTCTTTTTCATATCCAAAACGCTTTTATTTCTCTCATTCCAAACAATTCAGGAAATAGTGAAAATACCGCACCTCTGCAGCATTTGAGCTTTCTGTCCCTCTTCCAAAGAGCATGATACTCTGAAAGAAGAGATTTATGGTGATCTGGGATTGTCCAATCGTTCATTATGTACCAAAAGTACAAATCAAATAGCTATTCTTTAGAACTGTAAACTAAATTGTTTTGTGCGGTTTCAACAACAAAGCAAATAACTAAAATTGACACCAGTTACATAAATGGTTTTCGAGATCAAAAGAAACAATTTTTTACGATCATTTTTCCAAAGTTATTTATTGTGATATTTTATAATAAAATTTGTAGTCTTAAGAGTTATATAATTATTCATTTAGTTATTGTGATATTTATAGTTCTTCTAAATGTCTTCAAATCTTAGGCAAATTCTGTGAATAAATATCTAAACTCTTAAGAGTAAATTACTTTTCTCTTAGTTATTAGAGTTTTATTAATAATTAATAATTACACGTATTGGATAGATTGCTTTAGGTAATCAAGAAAATATGATTTGCCATCATATATTTGATTTTGTTTTGACAATTAGCAAAGTGTCAAGTTGGACACAATCCTTATTCAGGCCTGGGATGTATGTTTTAACCAAACAATAGAATCTATGACCCTTTTATTTCATTCCTTACAAGATTCAATTCATATCTTGACTATATTTTTGTCTTGTATTCATTTGTGCAACAACTGCAGGTTTATTGTCTTTAGAAAATTCTCCTTGTAAGAAATAGAAGCATAAAATTGTTTTTAGCAACCCGCCGGGTTGCGGGCCTCTTGCAAAGAGGACAAATTAGCAACCCGGCGGGCCGCCAGGTTACCATTGTGTAACCCGGCCCGCCCGGGGGTTGCTGGCGGGTTGGGCTCAACCCGGCCCGCCATTAAGGCCAGCCGGTTTGAGCCCTCTTTTTTACGGGCCGGGTTAGGGTTGGCCCGCCTAACCCGACCCATTTTTTCCACCTCTAATCATCACCTTATACAATTGATATTATTTTTGTAGATATGTCTTTGATATTTGATGTCAGTATTTTATAGTGAATCGTGCATGATATTTAATATTACCTAAATATTATCAAGATCAACTATTTAAACTCAAAATTTATATTGACCTTCCACAATTTTTGTAACTTATATTCATTTTCAAGTTGCGTTGCACAGGTATATTTATTATATATTTTTTACATTATTATTGGTTTTTTTTTGTGTTTTAAATATATATTTTCTATATTGAAGTTCATTTTATATTGAATTGATAATTAAAAAATCAATAAATAAAATATCCACAAATTTAACTCAAAATTTATATCATCATGGTTCTTCTCAAATATGTTACCATTTGACATTTACTACCAAAGTTTAAAACTTTGTCAAGAAAGCAAAAAATTTGCAAGATAACCCACTGGGTATTATTGATAAGTCTACAAATTAATCAAAGAAAGAGAAACTTTGTTGAAAAATGTGAACTTTTAAACTTGCATAGCCAAAGGAAAAAATTGATTTTGATTGTTCAGAAGAGAAAATGAATTATTTTTATTATTATTATTTTAGAAATAAAAAAATTAAGAATGTTGAAAAGAGAACTCACATAGAAAGCAACAACAACTTCAACAGTATAATCTAAAGGTAACTTAATTGAAGCATTCAAGAAGTCATGAAGATAAAGCTCATGTAACACAAATTCATTTGCTGTAATTAGAATTGACCACCACCTATAGCAAAAAAAAAAAAAATCATTTGATGATAGCATCCTAAAGAAAGACGATAATTGTAAAACCCACAAATCAAGCAACAAAATCAATCCAAAAATCAACAAAAAGAGATAGAACAAATATAATTAAAACTACATATCAATAATTGTTTTCTTTTGTCATCACTAAAATTGAATTTGTTTTATGTGTGCGATGATAAAATGAATGGTTCGGCAGCAGGTCTATAGTTATCCTAATTTATCATATAATATATCAAATTAAAGCCATATATTTCTAGTTTCGAAAGATTCAAACCACTCATCAATTAGATTTTTATTGAACAAGTTATGGCTAATTTAATACTGACTCTTCAGTGAAAATCGAGAAACAGGGAAAACCAAAATGTATGTGATGATAAAATGAATGATCCGACAGTGGGCCTACAATGATCCAAATTGAGCGTAAAATATATCAAATTAAAGCTCTGTCTATCTAGTTTCTAAAGGTTCAAGCCTCTCATAAATTAGATTTTTATTGAGCAATTTATGGTCAATTTACTACTGACTGTTTAGTGGAAACTGAAATGTGTGTGATGATAAAAAGAATGGTTCAGAAGTGGAGCTATAAGCGTATAATATATAAAATTAAATCTCTATCTGTCTAGTTTCTAAATATTCAAACTTCTCATTAATTGGATTTTTATTGAGGAAGTTATGCTCAATTTACTACTGACTATTCAGTGAAAACTGAAATATGTGTGATGATAAAAGGAATTGTTTGACAGTGGGGCTACAGTTACCCAAATTAAGCATATAATATATCAAATTAAAGCGCTATTTGTCTAGTTTCTAAATATTCAAACCTCTCATCAATTGAAGTTTTATTGAGCAAGTTATGATAAATTTACTACTAATTGTTCAATGGAAACCTAAATATGTATGATAATAAAATGAATGGTTTACTAAAGGTACATGGTTTAGCCTCAAACATCAGTTGATATTTGTTAAATAAATGAAATTAGTTATATTTAGCAACAAACTCTTTTCATGATATATGTATATGACATAAAAGATATCATCAAAAAGAGATAGAACAATTACAATTAAAACTACATATCAATATTTGTTTTCCTTTAAGGATAATAATAATGGTTCGGCATATTATAAATGGTTTACTAAAGCTACATGGTTCGGCAACAAACATCAGATGATATTTGTGATACAACTAAAATTTGTTATATTCCGCAACAACCTGTTTTCGATATATGTTGTAACATAAAAAAATATCAACAAAAAGAGATAGAACAAATATAATTAAAACAACATATCAATATTTGTTTTCCTTTGTCATCACTAAAATTCAATTTGTTTTATTTGTGTGATGATAAAATGAATGGTTCGGCCGCAAGTCTATAGTTATCCAAATTCTTCGTATAATATATCAAATTAAATCTCTATATTTCTAGTTTCTAAATATTCAAACCGCTCATCAATTGGATTTTTATTGAGTAACTTATGGCAAATTTACTACTAATTGTTCAGTGGAAATCAAGAAACAAGGGAAACCGAAATGTGTGTGATGATAAAATAAATGGTTTGAAAGTGGGGCTACATTTATCCAAATTAAGTATATAATATATAAAATTAAAGCCCTATTGACTAGTTTCTAAAGATTCAAACCTCTCATCAATTGGAGTTTTATTGAGCAAGTTATGGTCAACTTACTACTAATTGTTCAGTGGAAACCAAAATGTGTGATGACAAAAGACATGGTTTGGTAGTGGGGCTACAGTTATCCAAATTAAGCGTGTAATATACTAAATTGAAGGCCTGTATGTCTAGTTTCTAAATATTTAAACCTCTCATCCATTGGAGTTTTGTTGAGTAAGTTATAGTCAATTTACTACTGATTGTTCAGTGGAAACTGAAATGTATGTGATGATAAAAGAAATTATTTGGAAGTGGAGCTACAGTTATCGAAATTAAACGTATAATATATCAAATTAAATTCCTATCTGTCTAGTTTTCAAATATTTAAATCAATCATCAATTGGATTTTTATTGAGCAAGTTATGGCTAATTTATTACTAACTATTCAGTAGAAATCGAGAAACAAAAGAAACCAAAATGTGTTTGATGATAAAAAGAATGGTTTGACAGAGGGGCTACAGT